TTGTTTATCAGTTCACTACACTGTTACCTTTTAGGAATGAGAAAATCATTATCATGGTAAGATCATTTCACTGTAAATATTTAACGACTGGAGATGCAATTCTAAACTGGGCATTCAGAAAATCCACGCAAGTTTTTCCTAAACCACTAGAGGGAGAACTGGTTGTGTAAAGCCAATTCCTGATATGCAGACTCATGTTTGCAAATCCAAAGAGTGGAGACAAGCGTATGCTGCCTGTCACATGGCGCTTTCTTCCGTGTGACCTACATCCATATACTACTGCTGGTTTGAGTATTTTAGCAGTAAGAGAGTGAGTGGGGTGAAATTATAAACATTGTTGGTTTGGATGTAAACAGAAGTACTTGCATTTATACTGGCATATGCTACAAGCAATATTTTTAATCCACTGAGGAGAAAATGAGATTTGGAACATCTGGATAATGTAAAAAAACTAGGAATTGGAGCTCAGCAAAGTCAGAGAGAGAACATAAACAGAAATGGTCACAAGCTACCCTCCAACGGCCTCCTTCTGTCAGCTTCTTGTGTCAGTTGTTACATTGTTAAGCTAAGCAGCAGAGTGATAGGTTTGGAGTTCAGAGCTTTCTCATAGAAACTGCCACATTTCTAGGTCCCATGCTCCCGTGAGTGATATGACTGAATGAAGCTGAATTGAAATGCTTTTAAAAATAAACTGTTTAAGACTTTAAATAATTAACACGCATCTGTAGTATAAAAATGACAACGCTCTCTTTAAATAAATTAAAATGGTCTGACACCTGCCAGGACTTAAGCTCTCTGTTTCTCCTGTAACAGGAGAGACGTTAATACCTACAAAAGAGGATCTGTGCTTGCGGGCACTGTCTTTGGGCTTTAACTGACAGGAAATGGAAAAACCTCAACTCAGGTTGCACTAGCTGTTTAGAATATAATATTATGCTGAGGGACAAATCCCCAGGTCAGCACAGGACATATGTGGCGGAGGACAGAATCCTTTCTTTCCTCTTCCCCCTATGCGGTGGAGCTGGTCCATGAAGGCTGTCCCAGCCCAACTCCCCGTCTTCTCCTAGTCCCAGATCAGCTGGCCTGCTCATCACCCTGCCCACTGATGCTGCTGCCAACAGGTTTGTCTTAGGACAGGGGACTGGAGTTGCTCCCTTTATCCTTTTTGTGTGTCTTAAAACATTTCTGTTCAACTGTAGCCTCATCTTGGCTCACCTTTTCTGCAGCATGTTTTACAAAGAGTTTTTTAAAAAGGGCATGAAGGGGTTAAGTAATTAGACAGTTTGACTGGTCTTCAGCTTTCTGCCTTCTGTGCTTCAGCTGGGGCCATGTACCTTTGTAGCACTTCAATTGTACAATGGTTTGATTTCCTCTTGTGGTTTAATGTCAGAAAATGACACGTTGTTTCTACTCTGAGTAGCGTCCATGCCAAGAGATCTCCAGAATCAGTTTGTTTCTTCTGGATGTTTCAGCTCTCTCTTGTGTAGCCTTTTGTTTGTTTACTAAATTATTTTGTAAATTCAGCAAATAAGTTGGAGACAAGAATTTGAAGTGACCAGAAGAAACTGTAGCATAGAAAACAAGCACACACACTCACCACTCCTCCCATGGTTTATATATCAACATTTAGGCACTTCAAAAAAAAAAAAAAATCCTTTCCCTGCATTATGCTACATTTTTAAAACTAAGGGAATTTTTTAATCAAAATTTCATTCTTTACCTCTTACCTGTGAACATTGCACTCACTTTCACATTCTGCTGTTCCTGGACTCACATGGCTGCAGCAAAATGGTTAAATACCAGTCCTCACCCTACACTAACAATTATTATTAAAATGAAGGGGGTGGGGGGAGATCCCATGAAGATGACTAATCACAGTAAAGTTCAGTCAACATTTAAAAAAAAAAATTTAAATCTAATTTCTGGGAATAAACTGAGTTGACATCATGGATATTTAATATGGACTCAGCATTCTGAAGGAGTGGAACAGATTCAGTTTCTTATTAAGCTGTATTTTCCCTGGTACTTGCCAGACACTAGAACTACAAATAAAAGAACAAAGAGCTGCATTGTTCTGCCAAGCACATATGGCCTTATATTTTAGAGACGGCAACAAAGGAGATTGTGAAGAAAGGCTTTTTGCTGTCTGCAATTGTTTTGTATAGTAAAAATAACTAGAAAATATTTAATGATATGATGCTCAGAATGGATTTGTTTTTGTTTAGACAAAATTACAAGAATTACTCCATGGAAACAAGAACACATTTCAGAATTCAAGCTGCCTTGCACCAAGCCAAATCGGTCTCAGAAAATGGAGTACATTCTGGAGCTTCAACAGTGTCATAACCTTTTCTTCTTTGATGTCTGTGTGCAAACTTTGAAACATTATCGCCCTTCTCTGTTAAATCAGTGGGAGAGACCAGAACATGTGATACCTAAAAGATTTTGAATCTGTGGTGACAGTCTGGCAAAAAACAAAACAACCTCCCCACTCCCACCCCCCACACCTTTACAAAAGATTTCTTTTTCCAAACGTGGCTTGTAATATCTTTGTAATTAATTTTTAATTTATGTATATATTACATTTACTTATTTGCTAGGATATGAACTGGGACAACTAAACAAGAAGGCTTATTGGTTTTGATCTGACTTGGTTATGAATGTAAATTTGAATTTATATTGATGTTATTGCGAAAAAGAAACACTTTTCCCGATCCCTGAGTTGTTTACCTGTTTAGTTTGGTGAGAGAAAATTCAGTCTTTCAGATTAAGTCAGAAGCTTTTGAATCTCAGGCATTTTGTTATTCATACAAAGATCTTCTTATCAGGTTTTCTCTTCAGTAATTTTCTAGCTGCTAAAACAAACTTGCTAGTAAAGACCTTAAGAAGTTTCAATTATGCAAATGTGATTTTTTTTTTCTTTTCAATTTCAGTCTGTTCTATCATTTTTTGTAGGCTGGATAATTTACAGTATAGCCAGGATTTTAGAAAAAAGCAAGTGAAGAATACAGTGGAAGAGTGGATCATTTATCCTCCTTAGGCTAAATTAAAAATGACCAGGGGGCCTTGGGAACCAAACCCATCAGCGTTTACCAGAACAAACATGACTTGAAGTTTAAGAAATGCACTACTAACTATCAGGGCCGGTGCTACCATTTAGCGCCAAAAAGCGGCGCCCCCAATTTGTTTGGTTTTTTTGTTGTTTTTTTTTTTTTACAGCGGTCGCTGCGCTGGGAGGGAGAGGGAGTCTGAGCCGCCGACACGCAGCCCCAGGGTTCCCCTGGGTCAGAGCTGCTGCACGGATCCCCGGGCCAGGGGGTGGGGAGCTGCCGCGGGGG